CCATAAACAAACGTAGAAAACACCACATATAAAAGATCCAATTGCTCTTCTCTGTTAGAGATACGTTTTACAAGCTTGTAACTGGTCCGGACAAATAATCCAGACGCAAATAACTTTTTGGGTCATTGTTTTACCTGGCACCGTGGTTTGGGCGCTGGTGGTTAGCTCTTCTGTTGGTTGTTTCGGGTGCGACAAAAAAATAACAATCCCGCCGCAGGACAGCTTCCAACTTCTCTCACTCTACTCCTGGCCCTCTTCCTCTATCTCCAACAAAACCTTTCCCCAGCAAGCATATTATTGGGCTCACACATTCGTCTCCTGTTGACTACGTTGTCTACCCCTTCAAATATTACAGCACTCGTGGCACAAGGTCCTGGGTCGATTATTCGGGGATCCTCCCTTATCCATGGTCCCACACTCCGCACCTCCCCTCTTCCCGAACGCTACAGTGTTATCTGGATAAAATCCCTGAGAGAAAGAAAGGCGAAAAGACTCCATGTCGACGGCATCTAATCAATCCCGAGGCATTAATCGACGCATCAACAGCCTCCAGAATGAAGCCCGACATTCGCGCAGCCTCTCCGGGTCACGGAGGCGTCCCGTCAATTCCTCCGCAGCTTATAGCTATGCTCTCCGTGTAGCTTACCTGGCATACCTCCTCCAGCCCAGATCTCGTCGAGTACAAAATGTGCAAGCGCCACAGAAGCCGAAGCGAGCGTCGACGTCGTTCCATGATCTGATGAGCGACTTCTCTCTAGTCAGGGACTCCAAAAGTACACGGTTTCCGCATGGATTCATAGCAGAGCTCGAAAAGCGATTGACAGGCGTTTTAATCGGAAGGGAAAAGCGGAAGGAATATCAGGATGCGTTGGTGGTTAGAACATTTGCTGCGTTCTTGAACACGTTGAAGGAGCAGTCATTTAAGAAGCGGATGGATAAAGATCGACGTGCTGAAGACCTGGTCCTGATCTTTTATTCGAATGCTACCAAGGAACTTAGCAAAGGCAAGGACGTGGACGATGATTCCTGGAAGTTCATGGTCGATCGACATGTTGCTCTCTTCGTCCGATTGATTTCGCTCATTCTGAAGGATAACGACTGGTCGAAAGACCGGCCCGAGTTGTCCAATCGATTATCGATCCTTGAGAACAAGTTGCTTTCTCAAGACCAAGACTTAGTCCAAACAAATGGATCTGACCAGATGACAGAGGTGGTGGCACCGTTGAGCTACGACGTGAAGGACATGCATCTTGTGCAGCATGTCGCCAAGATATTTGGCATGGCCAACTCCCAGGTGCAGTCGGACATCGACAAGAATAGAGCGGTTTGGACAGCGCAGGCAGCCCTACAAGATTTGAAGTCGTATCAAGCCCACCTAAGTCTCAAAACCCGAAAGACCCTTGCGCAAGAGGACTTCGAAAACGACGAAGGGTATGAACACTGGAAGAAGAGCGAGGGTCCTGATCTGTCGCAGATGATGCTTGCAATCGTTCAGTCCAACCCGGAGCTTGCTAAAAACACACCGGGTGTGCTTCCGCGGTTCAATCCTGGTGCAGCGGATCACAATTCCGATTCGAGTCCTGTGGAATTGACCAGGACGAATTCTGACAGGCCAACTTCATACATCATCGACCAACCGGTGGACCTTAGCTCGTTATCACTCAGTGACAACGGCGATGCTTCGGATGAGTCCGACACCTACACATATATCCCATCAGATCCACGGGCCGCATATAAATTCATTCTTACTCAGACGCTGAATCATGACCTGAAAGACCGTGAGATTGAAGCTAGTCAAGCTGATTCAGACGCTCCATCATTCAAGCTGCTTTCTAAACAGTCTACTGAGCTCTTGAACGAAATTTGTCTTCGCTGGCGACTTCCCAATTTCTCAAGGATTGCCTTGTTCTTGGACGTTGCCCGAGAGAAATTTGTGGATAATGAGATTGACTTGGATACTCTCGACTCAGCGTTTACCTTTGTCAAGCAGTCGCCTGGGTCAGAGGGCAAGAAACGTAGCAGTTACATTGCTTCAGTTCTTTATGACAGAAAGAAATGGACGATCCATGATCTTCTCTTGATGCAACAGCTACTTTCCTCGCTTCACGAGGCTTTACTACGGGAGCTTTACGATGTCATGATGGATTGCTTTGAAACCAAGCCTCGCCCGATTGGTCCAGTTATGTACGTGCTAGAGAGCCACGTCCAAATGGACCCTAATTATACAGAGGATGCCGAAGATATCGATCGTTTCCGCACATATGTTCAGGAAGGACTCTCCCAAAAAGCGACAGAGAAGTATCAGGATCTTCTTGGTGAATCAGTGCCTGTGGAACAAGAAACCTGGCAGCCAGACCACGTTATTCAGCTTGGCGAAACAATAATGAAACTTGGTCAGAAGATTCGAAAGCGTTATAGAAATAATCCAGAAATCATGGGGTAAGGATTGGCCCTAATCTGCTTCAATTTTTGTATCCATACTGACGGATTGCAGGGTGAATCCATATACTACTTTGCTGGCAAATGTGCTCCCTATCTATGCAGAGGATGCTCATGAGATGGTAGTCAGGATCATGGAACGTACAAAAGCAAAGGGAGAAGAAATGGATATGCAAGATGGGTTTGACCTCTACAAGCAATTGACAGCGATACGTCGCGTTTTTCTGGAGACACTTCCTGAGTAAGTTCAGAAACCATTGGTTTTACTTATGGTCGATACTAATACTTCTTAGTGTTCCTTTCCCGTTCCATGTGGAAAGCCTACTTGAGGACTTTGTATGGCAGTGGCTGCGCTTGACAGAAGCGAAGGTAATAGACTGGGTTGAGCAAGCGATCAGAAAGGACAACTTCGGCGTCCGGGGTGATGGCTCGGAAGAAGTAGTCTCTGAAGAGTACAGACACAGCGTTTCTGCCATTGACATTTTCCGCTCTTTCAATCAAGTGGTTGAGCAATTGGTCCAGCTTGAATGGGACGACGACCTCCAATACGCCAAGTTCATGACTGCTCTGTCCAAGTCGATAAGCAATGGTATAGCAACATATTGCGAATCGCTGGAGAAAATGTTCGCCAAGGAGATGGACAGGCTGTCGCCCGATCAAGAAGCAGCTATGAATCAAACGGCCCAGGAGAAACTGATGCAATTCGCCAAAGATACGTGGACAAATAAGGAGAAGATTGAGCCCTTTCAATTCTTCCCTGAGGTTCGTATAACTGTCTCCCCTTTACCTTGTTTGGGCACAACTAATAGTTATTCACCAGTCCATGGTCAAGTTGAATAACATTGAATATGGTCTCACCCAACTTGATAAGCTTGAACATGAGATTAATGTCGACGGGTGTGCGGAGGTAATTGCACAGCATGCTCCTCCGCAATTGAATAAGATCCGTAAGTCCACGACCTACGTCTTCACGATCAAGGTTGTGGAGGCCGAAGACCTTAAGGCGTGTGACATGAATGGACGGAGTGATCCTTATGTCGTTCTGGCCGATGAGTATCAAAGACGCATTGCCAAAACTCGTATCGTTTACAACAACCTTAACCCTCGATGGGATGACGCAGTCGACATCACAACCCAAGGACCCTTGAACATCATCGCAACGATTTGGGATTGGGATGCAGTGGGTGACCACGACTATGTGGGCCGTACATCTATCAAGTTGGACCCTGTGCACTTTAGTGATTTCCTGCCAAGAGAGTACTGGCTGGATCTGGATACTCAAGGCAGGTTGCTACTTCGTGTCAGTATGGAAGGGGAGCGGGACGACATTCAGTTCTATTTTGGCAAGGCCTTCCGAAACCTCAAACGGAGTGAGAGGGATATGACACGCAAAATCACGGAGAAGCTGTCTGCATATATTAGTCACTGTCTGTCACGACGAACGTTGAAATCTCTGCTGTCCCGCGGCCTTAGTATCAGCACTGTTTCCAATTTCCTGAACCGGAATCGTGGACAATCGAACACAGTAATCCCAACTGCGGCGGATGTTGAAAACGCATTGACTCCGCTTTTCGATTATTTCAATGACAACTTTGCCATTATGAACAAGACGCTCACGTCGGAAGCAATGAAGATGGTCATGGCCCGTCTGTGGAAAGAGGTACTGGCTACCATTGAGAGTTTGCTTGTGCCACCCTTGTCGGACAAACCATCACATCAAAAACCTCTTACGATGCAAGAGGTAGACATCGTATCACGCTGGCTCGTGCTCGTCCTTAACTTCTTCCACGCCATCGATGACGAGACTGGCGAGGCGCACGGCGTCTCGATTGACATTTTGAAATCACCCAAATACCACGATATTCAATCCATAAACTTCTTCTACTTCGAACCCACCGATAACCTAATCCGCACATCGGAGCGAATGGCCTCGGTCACGGTTTCCCGGCAGCAAGCCAACAAAAACCGCGTCTCCGCGCCACCACAGCCCAGCGCCACAGGCACTGGCGGCTTTCTGGGTGTGGGTGTCCCCAGCGTCCGACGCGCCAAGAGTATCATGCTCTCCCGGAACCTGGGCACGATGAAGAAACTCAAAGAGGAGAAGTGGCGCGAAGCCCAAGCAGAGCCAAACGACGACATGATCTTGCGTATTCTCCGTATGCGGCCCGAAGCAGCCGGATATCTGCGTGACCGGAGTCGCCAGAAGGAGAGACTTGCCGCGGCTGCGGCTGCGGATGCCATTGTGAAGCAGAGTCTTATGGCTGGTGCGGGTGGACGAATGACGGGGATGCTTGGGCGGCGGTGATTGAAGTGTTTGTTTGAGAATCTATTCCTTCCAAGTAAATACATGTGCTTTTTGGCAAGCGGAGGATCATGGCGTATGCGTTGTTGTCGTTTTTGTTTTACCAGCCAATTTGTGAACCTAACGGCCGATGGTACGAGAGAAATACGCAGCTATCAAGTTAATGAATATAATCCAGTAATACTCTTCGAAATATCTTAGTGGACTCTTGATAATGTCAATTCCTAGTAACTACCCATTCATTTTATCTTGACATCGTTTACTCCAAAGCGATGCACTCAATCTCAACCGGCACACCCTTGGGCAACTGCGCAACAGCCACACAGCTACGAGCCGGCTTGTGGGTGAAGAACTTCTCATATGTAGCGTTCATCTCCGCAAAGTTCACCATATCAGTCAAGAAGACCTACACCACCATTAGCCACCGTCACCATCACCCCAAATATAACCACCCAGCCCAGTAATTTAGGAGAAAACGGGGGACACGCACATTAACCTTAACAATCTTCTGCACACTCGAACCAGCGGCGTCAAGGATAGCCTTGATGTTATCGCAGCAAGCCTGGGTCTTGTCGCCGATAGAGCCGTCGATGAGGTTGGCGTTGGCGTCGGCGGGAATCTGGCCCGAGACGAAGATTTGGCCATTGGCTTTGATGGCTTGGGACTGTTGTTTAAAAGGGATTGTTAACTGGTTGTTCTTGGGGGTGATTTCGTGGGGTTTCTTTTGGAGGATTTGCGTCATGAGCTTTGGATGGAGCGACATACGTAGGGACCCGCAGCTATAGAGAAGGGTAAATGTCAGTTACAGCTCAATTCAATTGACAAGAATTGAGGCTTATCCTCCAATTTCTCAGCAGGATGGCAACGTACGAGGGCAAGCTTCCTTAGCAGAAACAGGAGTCATAGACATATTGACGGATGTGGAAGAAAAAGGCAACTGCTGGGTGCGGATAGGAGGACGGTAAGAGAGATTTCGAAGGAGAAGAGAAAGACGAGAAGTGCTCCGGAGCATGAGTAATTGAAGTAGAGAAAGAAGTTCTGGAGGGGTTGAAGAGTATTCCGCGGGAAAGTCGTCCGTTGCCTGCTTGGAGCCCCGCTATCGGTGGAGTCAGATGACTAGAGGGCGTACATGAATTACAGTGATAAGGATATGCATGAGTACAAGGGTATGATATTATTCAATGTATTGTATGTACTAGTAACAATAAGCTGGTGTCACGGCTTCGTATCAAAAATATGTCCAGGAGAAATATGACTATCAGTTATGTTTGACCTAAACCACCAAGCTGTTGTAGCTGCTGTAAGAAAATGGCCGTCTGCTCGGGAGAGAATCCAAAGAATACTGGGCCATTGAAAACGATGTTCGCAGGCGCGGAAGGCTTCGAGTTGTTCGGTTGAGGGCTGTCGAGTGTTTCCCCAGGGTCCTCTGCAGCATCAGGGACCTGGCCCTTGCTGTTATCATTCCGAATCGTCTGTGTCTCCAGCTCTATTTTTTCAGGTTTAGGTTTAGGTTCACGCTCAGGTTCAGGTAAAGGAGGCTTCGGTGCACCGTGGCCAAAGGGACATCGACGAGGTGGTGGGGCTGCGTCAGATTCATTCGGGGTGGTCTCTTGCAGGGGTGCGACGGAAGCATCATCTGTAGCGGAGTGGTCTGGAGGTTTGTTCGACTGTGTTTGAGTGGGCGGAACTGGAGCAGGTGGGGACTGGAGAGGAGATGTTGGTAAGGGATCTAGCGGAATGGGAACAGGAATTCCCCAAGGCCTGCTTGGAGATTCTCCAAGACGGATATCACGCAGTGGACGATCAAAGTGGCCCAGTCGTTCCTCCTCTTGGAGATTCTCTCCCTCTTCTTCCTTGATGGTAGGGTGCATCTCCTGCTTCGGTGTGCGGCCAACATCTTCCGCCCATTTTTCCACTCGTTCCGCGGAGGAGTTAGAGCCCGAGGCACCATTCTCAGCACCCGGGAGGAATGCTTGGTGTTTCATCGACAGGCCTCGGATCATACTGATGAGATTACCGTACTTTGCATCTAAATGCCGCATGCTTGACGAGTCTTTCTGGTATCGTGAAACGCAGATCGCATGGCTTCTAGGTATTTCGTGCTTGTGTCTCTCGACATATTCAGCAACTTCTTCCGGGGTATGTTGGTCCAGGAACCTAATAGGGCATTTGGAGATGGGGCATCGGGCCGACGACGATCTCGCAGAACCGGCCTGACTGGAACGCCTTTCGTTCTTTTCGGCTTTGATGGGATCGACATCGTGTCCACACGCATCATGGTTATGGGGGTCTAAGGCATCTTCGACCCCGTTGAGGACCTCATTTTCAGGGGCTTTATTGTTTAGCTTCGCAAAGGGGCACTGCAGGCTTCCCTGCGTGCCCTTTGTCGTGAAGTCTTTCTCTAAACGGGCAGGTGTATCGGCCCTCGTCGCAACGACGCATGGGTTGGGATTTGTGAGCAAATTATCATCTGGAGGACGTGGTACTGATTGGTAGCAGTCCAGTCCTTCCCTGATGGCATTCACAATCGATTCTCCTACGTGACCAGATTCTGCAAGAGCATTGACTACATCAGAAGCTTTGAGCGACTGTTCATGTGGGATGGGATCCGGAGAGCAGCGAAGGATCTTCTCCGCGACGATCTTGGTATGGGTATCGGTTCCGCCGGGGATTCGATCTGCTAGTTTGGAATACTAAGGCGTATGTTAGCATGTCTCGACAAGAAGTCTGCATGAGCGTAAAAAAAATGGTGAAGTCTCATCAGATAATACATGACTAAAGAGTCATTGCCGTATATAGCGACTCAGTTCTAGAGCTAAATTTTCTCATCCTTTGGAGACAGGAGTGGGTGAAGCAGAAGAGGGAGTAAAAGAGTATTTACCTGTTGATGGGCATATTTCAGCCTCTGCTGCATACTCCTCTCCTTGTCATTCAGCTGATGGACTGTCAGGAGAAGAGCCTCAAACGATTTAGCCAACGTCTGCAGCTGCAGATTTTGCTGGGTTTCGGAGATCATTGGAGTAGGCGACATTTTGCCTCTTCAAGCAACAGGATTACAAGGGCATAGACGTTTCATCTGTTTTCAATATAGCGCTTCTGCTTGGTTGCAGAAGCGCAGCTGAGTAAACATAAAGAGAAAGGAGAGAAAAGGGGAAGAGAAAAATGGGAGGAGAAAGAAGTTGGGATTAAATCTGACGGGAGAGAAGCTCCCTAAGCGAGTTGGTCCGTGTAAGGTCACGTGTTATCTCCGAGAAACGGTCCGTGGTCCGGGTCGACACCAGACAATACCCTTGATATGTACGGAGTAGTATGATCCAATAATTAATTAACTGATGACATGGACGAATATATGCTGGCATCCTCTTCTAAACTATGACTGATTATATGGAGAATAATTAATTATTGGATCATACCACTGTTTCAATTCCAACAAGCCTACTGGCTGCGGTTATCCCACGTCGAGTTCCCAAGACTAGTCAGATACTTCCTCATTCTTTTTGACCACACTTTGATTAGTGTCTCGGTTCTATATATACCAATGGTTGAAGGCGCCAATTAGTGCTTACTGCTCGTCATTAGAAGGGTGGAGGGACTCGTTATTGAGACAGTTGCAAACCATGGCTTGGTATATCACGTACCTTCGATATATTAGCTTGTTGTAGCAGTTAATTAATTTTCCTTAGCTGGTGGATATCTAGTAAATCTTTCGGGGTCGTATAATCACACATTGTACAGTCAAGGAGCCATGGTTTTGATTATATGGCCAGGCTTACATAGCGTCTATTTTTTGTATTCAGGCCCATGTAGAGTCCCAACATCGATTATATATTCCCGTGCCTACTATCAGAATATTTCCAGGCAGCATGTCATTAATGCATGGGACGAGAAATATATATTTAAGCCACTGATCGAAATAGGTCAGAAATATAGCGACAAAAAAACAACAATCGCAACTCAGGCAAACATCGAACCACATATCCATGCATGCGAGTGGCTCCAAATACGGAGTACATTAGTGATGTAGTAATCCTTGCTTTACATAACTTTAGAGAGAAAACAGTCTCAACAAGCCCGGCCGGGCTAGCTCAATCGGTAGAGCGTGAGACTCTTAATCTCAAGGTTGCGGGTTCGACCCCCGCGTTCGGCTTCAATCAGAAGACGATCACGATTGATCCTTTTTTTTTGATGATTTTTTACCCCCCTGGGGGGTTAGATGGGAAAAGTTCGGGTCTGAAAATTTTGGTCGGATAGGGTTTGTGTGGGGCGGCGGAGATATGACGTCAATAGTGTCAACAAATGGTGTAGCCCTCTGTTCATCAGCACTACAGATGCTTGGAATTTTTTGCTCCAAAATCATATATATATAACCAAACCTGTCATAATAGTAGTGGTATTCATACGCATGATATTCCTGGGCTTGCTGGTTTCACATTCAATTTGAGATTGCAAACTTGTGAGATTGACTCTGTGTTACAGACCTCACGTGATTATGCGGGGAGACAAGGCAGAATCATTGGGTGGCAGCAAAAGACAAAGCGCAGGAAAAGCAGGGATCAAAGTTGATAACCAACAGATATGTCACGTGATCACCTACTCTTGATATACCCTAGGAGGAGTAGCTGAAAGAGTATACACCCAGGCACAACCTGATTGGATCGACTCAGGATGTACTCCCTAAAGGAGTAGATGGGGGAGTATACTGGACAAGATATATAAGGACACTCATTCATGCACCTAGTTTAGCTCTTCGCAATCAATCTAGTTAATCAAGCATTGGTTACCTTCTAGTTTCTGACTCGTCCGCACTTAACAAACAACCCAGCATACGTGCTCGGTTGGCCTTGTTTCTCTATTCGTTACCTTTACCGATTTTACCTGTTGACTACCTTACGGAGCCTGGAGGGGGCGAGATACCTTCGACGTGATATACAGAGGACCTGGATTGTCATTAAGCATATGAATGCTTGGGAGGCACTTAGGGTAAGTGTCCTGTCTCAAAATACAACTAACTAGAACCCTAGGTACGATACAAGGGAAGCCAGGTTGTGACACTCTGGCGATAAAATCAACAATGCTCATAGAAATGTATATACACTCCGGGAAACGTAGCACTCGCCGACTCATTGTCTTTGAGATCTACTATAGAAGAGGGAACGATATGATATACAACAACATCAATGCAATCTTTGCAGAAAAGCTTTCTGCTGTCACCATTTTCTGCATATTCATTCTGCCTGAATATTTCCTGTCACGGCGCTCTACTAGGATAATGGAACATCCAACTCATGGGTTCTACCTAGATAGCTATCGACGAGAATAATCAACATGAGGAAGGAAGAGAGGAGGTAACACCGTATTTATCAACAAAGCAATAAACCAAACAACCGCACCTCACGTGATACCCAGCCAACGTGACCAGGCCGTCACATTTTCAGAGATGTCAAAAACGTCGAACATGCGAAAAATTACAGAATAATGGCGGCCAAGAGATAAGAAATTCTTCCTGAGCTTCTCCTTTGCGCTGATCATAGGGTCCTTGGAGTCAAAGGCGAACACCGCTCGAGCGAAACCTGATGCTCCTCAGGAAGATAGGGTGTCAATATAGGCGAAGAACAGCAGTAGAAATGAATATTGATCGCAATGACCAATGTTAGCTGGATCAAAGTAATTATATTGTAGTTCTTTCCCGATTAATGAGGCTCATAGTAATGAATAAGGATCTCAAAGATCTCCTAAGCTCTACCCAAAAGCATGAGTGACGGTAGACACTGGGATTCTTGGTGTTGAAAGGCAGTTGGCGTCCTCTCAGGCAAGATAATCAGTCCATATAGATTAGTATTGCGACGGGCTGAATTGTTGAATCATTATATCTTCCCCTGTTGCTTGTCCTACCTATACCGGCGAAGGAAACGATACCACAATTCTATTAAAATCTATACTGATGCCTACATCCCGGCCATCTGTTAGCAACAGTGACGAGATGTAAGTGTTGTAGCCTAAGACATTATAAGTTACAACCCCGACAAAAAGGTTGAGGCAAACAGTTGTCGATGACTTCCAATTATCAGTTACGAATCGAGAATCGTTATGCGCTTTAAAGCGAGTCTGATTAAGCTCCAGTTTCATTTAATCAAAGTACTTTCAACAAGCCCAGCCGGGCTAGCTCAATCGGTAGAGCGTGAGACTCTTAATCTCAAGGTTGCGGGTTCGACCCCCGCGTTCGGCTTCAATCAGAAGACGATCACGATTGATCACTAGTTTTTTTTTCTGTTTTTCCTTTTATTTCTCCTCCCCTCCGCCCCAGTCGCTCAATACATATATTGATTCTGTGCAAACCCAACTGGAATAAGCGTGTTTTTGTACCTGACCGGATCATCTTTTTATTATCTGCAACATCACGGCCTACATACAGAATCCCTCAACGATTGCGCCTGACGATCAATGCACACCGAAGCAGACCTATTGGACAGCATCCGGTTAAACAGGGCAACAGGCATCGTGGACCAGTCCAGACAAAGGAGACCCGGTATATGGTATTGGATTAAGTGCGGTACTTTTCAGTCGCGCCACCGGGGCACCGCAGAGTCAGTAACGGATGTCCCTGGCTACTGTGATGGAGCCCGGGTGAGGCGATGCAGGCAGGCTGCAGTAGTCGGCATGGCAGGGATCTATACTCATTCGGAAGACGGGCGATAATAGCCAACCGTATCGAGCTGCTAGATTGGGTTGCTAAAGTATTGCGGAACGATATCCTCCGATGTTACTTACAGCTATACTCTATGTGTTTTGCTAAATACTCCGAGTGTAGTTGTGGTATAGAAGAGGATTCTAGACTGGAGGGGTTCTATGGCGTTATCATAGAGGGGTTATGTAGCGCTCACCCACAATAATACCATAATCAGTCTTAATGATGATCTTGGAAACTTGGAAAACCTTTTATCTCAACTTTTATATGAATTTTCTTTATATGAATATCCAGAACAACTCTTTTATATTTCTTTTATATAAATGTGTGTATAGCTACATAGTACAATACCAGCTCATACCGTCACGTACGGTCAGATCTTCATCGCTTTTTTTTTTTTTTTTTTTTTACCCGCTTATCAATTTCCTCATTTCTCACCACCACCAGCAGCACTACTGCCGCTCTGCTCAGGTCTCCTCGTTCAGCCTTTCTTTATTAGTGCTCTTCCTCTCCCTCCTTTTCTTCCTCTCCTTTCCTTTATTTTCTTCTTCCCTCTTTCTCCATCATGTCCCAATCCACCGCTCCCGATGCCACCACCACCCAAGTCTCCGGACAGCCCCCCGCCCATCCCTCCCGCACCACCGAACTCGCCAGTCTTAAGGTAAGACTGCGCTCTGCCCTGCGCCAATTTCCCGACTTCCCGTCTCCGGGCATCCTCTTCGAAGACATCCTCCCCATCTTCGCCGATCCCTCTCTGCACGAAGCTCTCCTGCGATGCTTGGAATTGCACATCCTCGAATCCGCCGGTGGCCAGAAGCCCGATGTCATCGTTGGTCTTGAGGCCAGAGGCTTCTTGATGGGCCCTAGCTTGGCTCTGCGGTTGGGAGCTGGCTTTGTTCCTGTGCGGAAGCAGGGCAAGCTGCCGGGTCCTTGTGAGACCCAAGTGTACGAGAAGGAGTATGGGCAGGACTTTTTCCAGATGCAGGCGGATTCGATCAAGCCTGGTCAGAAGGTTATTATTGTTGATGACATTATCGCTACTGGTATGTTCCTTTACCTTGTCTCTTGTTCTAAACACGCAATGCTGACTGAATAGGTGGATCTGCGTGGGCTGGTGGTGAACTCGTCCAGAAGATGGGCGGAGAGCTCCTTGGATTCGTCTTCCTGCTCGAGCTTGAATTCCTCAAGGGACGCGAGAAGCTCCCGGCTCCGGTTTACACCCTTCTGACTGGTCAGGAGGAGAAGTTTACGTCGTGAACTCCTTAATACGAGACATGATCGCATACGGCATTCACCCGCAATAGAAAACAAAAGTGAGTCTTGATGTTGGATTAATCCCCGGTCACACAACACCGCCGTTAAGTTTGAGTTCTGACTACGACAAGTCTAGTGAGGGTACGAGGCTGCGTCGATGTGCAATACTGCATGCATTTTGGCAATAATTTTATGCATTGATACAACGTGCTTGGCCGCGTTTTAATCCTGTGGTACATTTTATAGAGTTGATTTTAAGCAATGAAATGTCTATGCCTGTAATGAGCATTTCCTTCGCCAGATAGAGCAATGAGGGTTTCCTGAACATCGAGCATAGCCATCTAGAAGAACTTCCTCATAACCTCGTCCGCCCACTTCTTCGGAAATCCCAACTCCTGCGCCTCGCGAATCGCCCGATCCATCCGAAAAACATACTCCTTCTTCGAAGACCCAACACTTAAACTCTTTTCATCAACATAAACCAGCACAACCTGTCCCTTCTCCCCACCCCTCAACCTTTTCTGCTCCTCATCCAACCACTCCGTCACCTTAGCCTCTAAATACCACTTATTGTACTCCCCATCCCCCTGCTCCCTCGGCCGCACACTCACAGGGATTTTCCCATCCTCCCACGCCCGCTTACTCTCCCGATCGACCCCCTCATACCCATCAAGAAGTCTCTCATCATCCCGCGCCATCTCATAAAGAATCCCGTATACCGTATCCTCCTCCCCAGACTGCGGAACATCGCTCCCATCAGCGACCGCTTCGCGCTCACCCCCATGCACAATCCTCAATTCTTCCGGTGGGAGCACATTCGCGTAGCCCCGGTTACAAATAAACCACCTCCAGGAATCAAGTCTCGCGAAAGCAACTGGCTTTGCGGAGAGGCTGGGATGGAAGGCGCAGCGGGAGCGCATTTGGGTTGGGGAGAGGTTCGAGCCGTAGGCGAAGTAGAGGGGGGTCGAGGGGTTTGGTTGGGGGTCTTCTTTGGGTTGGAGGCCGGGCTTTGCTGGGTGGACAGCGGTGTCGTGGGGTGGAAGGGGAACGGATTTGGGGTCTTGGGTTGTTTCTGTTGCTGTTAGAGTGACTTTTTCGGGGGAGCCATTTTGAGAGATCATTCTGGCGGTTTTTTGGTTTGAAAAAGGGTTGAAAAAGGTATGAAAAAGATATATGAAGGGTTGGAAGATGTATGAAGAAAGAGACTTTCTTATCGATAAGCCCGTGGACATTGCCTGATCAAGCAGGAATGGCATCCGCCTCGGCTATCATCAACCATGGTTCACTCAGGTCCATAGAGTAACGTCAATGCCATTATTTACCCGTGGTATATGCTCATATGTAACCGAATCTATCAAATAATATACAAATTACTTATCGGAACCCCCTGCGAATGCACCGTATATCGTCTTTTAATTCCTACACCCGTCGCCTGTCGTAGCAATTCATACGTCTCCTGCCCTCCCCCGACCATTACCATGCTGATCAGATGTCGTCGTGGAACCCCCCCGGTCGTCATTTGTACTTCGTCCAGGTACGGTCGTACCAGATATGGTTCTGCGCGTAGGGCTGCCAATGAGCGCGATAGTAGGGTCGCTGATCCACCTGGACTAGTTGCAGTAGCATCTGGACTATCAGGGTAGTCGTCTTCCGACACCACGATGACGAGTTTCAACGAGGACCGCGATGGCGGATAGGCCGCTATATGGCGCAGTTTCTGGGAGAAGCTGCATCCGCCACGTTTGACCACGAGGACTTGATGGTTCTCTACTGCCTGTCGTATCACACGTTCGTCGCAGAGTTCGTCGGCGAAGTAGATAGCCGACCAGGAGAGCGGCTGAGAGGAGAGATTCTCTGGCAGAGACACAGTCGATGCATCTTGCACGTCTGGCAGAGGGGCGGAGCCAATCCCTGTTGAGATGGCGGCGGGAAGCGTTAATCGTAACGAGGGTACCTTCTTCTGCGTGGATGATGACCAGGTGAAATGGCCTTGCATTTCTTCGCGGAGGAGGGACGACACGGAGCTCATCAGTGATGACCAGGCTGATTTCACGCCAGATGCGGCTAAGGGCTCGTCGTCATCGCCATCGGCGTGGCTGTCGTTACCGCTGCCGCTGTTGTTGCCGTCGCCGTCATCGAAGGAAGGTTCCTGTCCTGCTTCACCTTCACCGGCACTCGATTCTCGATGAGCATCTGAATCATTTCGCCGATGGAGAAGCTCTGGAATAACGTCAATGACGAGGTCAACCATGCTGGTGTCGCGGATCCGGGTGAAGTTCGGATCAGTGGGATCCAACACGTCAAAGGTGATGTCACGCGAAAGGTATACCTTCTCATCCTTGCCCAGCGGCACGTTGTTGAGCACTTGTACTCGATATCCATCCTCATCGGTGCTGCCTGCTCCGGTCGGTAAGGCTACATCTTGGACCATGCTTAGTCGGAGCCCTCCAATCGTCTTTACTAGGATTCCATCTCGGAGTCGTTCCAGGGAACCGGGGCCTATGACCATTCCTGGGAGGGCGGGGAATGATATATCCAGCGTTGGACGGGTTGTCATCGGCGAGCTGGTCGCGTTGAATGGCACCAGCTCTGGTGGTAAGGTCCAAGGGTAGAACGTGTAGTTTGTAGGAGATAACAGGTCAGATATCGAAACGCTGGAATGGTCGCTTGCATATTCCAGAAGAGCCCCCTCGGCGGCTCCTCGATTGGGCATGAAGTGCAGTCGAGCCAAGCTCGCCGCATGGAACACATCGGGACGCGCTGCGGTCGATGATGTGCCCAGGTTCGGAGCTGGAGGTGCAGTTTGGCAGGTCAGCTCATTAAACTGATCAACGGTCTGCTTCTGCTTTTTGGGTTTCTTGCTTGAAGCACTCGCAGTACTCTCGGGAATGATGAGCGGGTGTCCTTCTGTAGAAAAGACAAACGGTTTGTCCATCTGGTTCAAAGGATGCTCAGGGTCAAACAGCAAAAACAGATACTTGGCCGTCTCTCCTAGGAAGAAGCTTTCCATTCGGTCATTGAGCTCACCCGTCCGAACATCCTGGAGACCAGCCCAGCCGCACTTAGTCCAACATCTTCGTTTAAGGTCTCGGAGGACCATTTCCCCAACGTGCAGGTACCAAGGATCCTTGGTCGCCCGATATAGATAGTATGTAGACTCTGCAAATTCAGGACGTCCTCCGTACCATGAAAGACCATTTTCAATATTCCCTGTAGCCACGTTCCACCGTTCCGGGAGGCCAGAGAACCGGGTCCAGACCGCTGTCGCAAGCAGGTGGATGCTGATTGCTTCGTCTAACTCTCCAGCCATACTCAAGAGACCGGGGTAAAAAGCACTCAAGCTATCGATCCAGAAGGCTCGTGTAGCTCCCGTGAAGATATCTCCCTGGATTAGATGCGGATGTTGGTATCCTTCTCCGCGGTATAGGTGACGCGTTATCGAAGCATGTGATTCATGCCAAACCTGTAGGAACGCATCGGGCGAATGTTCGTATTCGCTCAATGAGGGATAATGGTAATCCAAAGAATGCCACTGACTTTGGTTATCGTGGGAAGGACGTTCCCCCGAAGACAAGAGGATGTAGGACTTGAAGGCGTATTCAAAAAAGCTGTCAATGCCTGCTCCGATCTGGGTATCCAAAGTTAGTTCCTAGTCCATTGATCGTAAAGTCTCATCACTTACCCCGGTATAAGGTTGTGTCCACCGCCCCGACTCCGCATCAATTCCCGATCCAATCAGTCCAATATCAGTCCTCTTTGACCAAACGGCCCAAAACGCTCGTTTTCCAAGTTCTTCGAACCGACCATCTCCAGTAAGCCGGCTTAACGTGGTAAGCTCCAACACCAAACTGCCCGCGCCAGCGCTGCAGTTTTCCGTCGTCTCCGCGGAACGAGATGTTTTCCCACAGAATTCCCGCTCAGTCTCGTCGCAAGAGACGCCCGCGTTTAGCGGAGATTTCGCGTAGAAGGGGACGCCGTGTCGCAGGTTCACTCGAGGGTAGGGCAGGCCGGTATCCGTGTAGAAGGCGGGTAGGAGGCGGTTTCCGAGGTCAGCGGCAAGTCGGAGGAACTGACCATCGTAGACGAATCCATTCTTCCACTTAATTCCGTGTGTCTTCTTCGAGGAGGAAAACTTGTCCCATGCTCTTGCGAAGGCTGCTTCGGCCTCTGGAGGATTGTATCCTCTGATTGGAAGTTCGCCAACCGCAAAGAGATGAGTGCTCAGTAGACCACCTAACGCAACCACTTCGTCAATATCCCAGCGCAGTACCAACGCAGAGGGGAGGACACCAACCTAATCCCCGAATAACTGTCTCAAAAACCTGCACTTTGCTATCAGCATCAAACCCCCTCTGTCTCTCACCCTGACCAGCAGGGCCGTCCGATCCATCCCCATACAATCGGACAAAATCTTTCACCCCATTCTGGAATTCATTCAAAGATTCCTCCCCATTCTCAGGACTTGACGACAAAATCGCAAGGGTGGATAGCGTATCAATCAACGTAAGGCTGTAGTTCCCCAGAACATCGTTAAGATCGGCGCGTCCTGGATTATCACGGTCGCGGACGAGGGGGGCACAAGTAAGCGGGCGCAGTTCGTCTTCGGGGTATGCGTGTTTCATGTAATTTTCGAAGCCATGGTAGAACATGTGCTCTGTTTCTTGTCTAAACCTCTCCCCGAGGTTGTTAGCTGCGCGCAATGCAAACAAACGGGAATGACGTGGAGGGCAAATATAAAAGAGAGAGGGGGGATTTGGGGGGAGGGAAGTACCTGAGTTCCTTGATCTGACTATCTTTCATGCCCTGGGCCAGGGGCAGCCATAGCGACAACAGCAAGACCCAGGCCATCCATGGTGAACGGAGGTCGAGCATCTGCGGGCTCCAACATCGCGTGCGCATTACCGGAGAGGCGATTCGGCCGTAGATGACATGGGAGCATCCGTACAAAAGCAATTGCTCCGGGGTGGATAGAAATGGAAAATAAACTAGATAGAGCCCAACGAATCGAAGGATCCGCTATGTGTTTCTGTAAGAGGTTTAGAGTTGGTTGGTTGTCAGTAGCATAGATCGTGCCACGTGAAGTTGTAGCCAGATTGCCGCTTTTGACCGATACCTATACATGGACTACAGGAACCTAAAGTAAATAAATCTACAATACATTATGGTTCAATTACTATCAACAATACAATATGCAATGTTAGAGAAATCGATTTGCCCGCCAGATAAACTCCCGCTTATAAAATCATGAATAACCTGCCCACACTAACACCAGTGGATATCTCAAGAGAACAGAATGCATGTAGAGTACGCAGATGTACGCGGAGAAATAGATGATAAGTAAAAAGATCGTGGGAAATTGATCACAGGATGAGAGGTATGCTGTGTTATGGGAGTTCCGAGATCTCAGGAATGCGACTTGGGCCGGGCTGCCCTCGATTTGGCACAAACGACCGTGGTTGTGCTTCAACTACATAGTCGACACCGTCATCGGATGCATAGCTCGGGGGGCGTTGATCTGTAACCTTTCCACTTGGGGTTCTTCGAGGTGCTGATAAATCGTTTACACGTTGCCAATGCAACAGGTCGGGGTTGATTCTCTGTCAGGAGACAGTTAACAAAACGCTCTTGCACGAATGAACAGATTTGGAAAATTTATACTTACCACACTGCTTCTCCAGAGCCCGTATGCCGGAGGCGGACATGCGAGTTTCTCACGCACACCTTCTGCCATAATCTCTTCATCGGCTGCAAGAACAACAGGAATCGGCTGATCTGGCTCAGCGTATCCCCGGGGCCCTGAACGACTTGGAATCCGACTCCTCCTGTGACTAGGTCCTCGGGCAACAGCCAAAATAAACTGGACAAACGAGTGGCAGAATACGATTGCAAGAATCAAGAGCATGAAGATCAAGAGGATGTGGAGTTCGCGTCCCATATGTGCATGAGACGCGGCGAAAGCAACATCTAGAGATCAGTTAGTGAAAGTTACCTAAGAATATCGTACAGGAAGTCTCACAAATGGAGAGAACGACAATGAAGAACAGACCGGCCATGGCCAAGGTGTATAGCTTCCTTCGGAGGTGGCTTGCTTTGAGAATGGAGGAACATGACCGTTCGTACAGTACGGGCTGTTCTTCCTGCCCTCTTTGTGACTGTCTGTCATGCGCTCTCTCAGTACGCTCTCTTTCCCTTGAAGCTTCATTTGACGACGATGATGCCCGATCACCCCAATGATTCTCCGTCGCTACCGACTGCATATCAATTTGAACGTACGATCCGCCAGGCGAGTACTGCGAACCAGCCGGTTCAGCTCGCGACGGCATAGATATCCTAGTGGTACGGTGTGCCAGACGCTCAGCGCGATTCCCGAATAATGAATGACCGCGACGACTGTTGGATCTCTGACCAGCAGAGTTATCCTCTGTCGCCGTATAAGGTCTTTCGCTGTCGGCATATGTATTTGTCTCATTGCGACTGGTGTTGAGTGAATCGAACAGGATTCGTTGGCGGGTGGAAGCCGCAGTGGTATTCGAATGCGACGGCGCCGGTTGAGACAACAGAGCCGAATTCATGTCGAACGAACGGGATATGGTCATGCGATTAATGTCATCTGGACGAGGTCGGTAGATATAGTGCGCAAGGAGCTAGAGATAAGAAGAATATCTTTCTGTTTCTGTACAATGCACTCTTCCGGGAGTTGCAGTAAGAAATAGACGCTTTTTTCTTTCTTTTTTAAACGTCTTCGAGTTAAATCAATGGAATGTGTCATGCACACCCCGCACGCAAATGCAATGACAGGCGGAATTGAAACAAAATTCGGAGGGAACGATATATGTTTGAAACACTTTCGGGAATGCGATGCTCGACTATACAACTGAAAGCGGAACGATTGTGAAGAAACGAAGGTGACTGTGGCTAGAAATTCATAATGAGCGTATCAGGAAAAGAGACTGATTGACAGTGCTAATTCCCAATGGCAAAACATGTGGCTGCAAGGAACCGGACTGTTTGCAGTTGGACTCCTCCGAAAAGGGAAAAGGAGAGGACCGATATGCTTTTAGAAATTAGGGGGAGAGAGATGATGGAATGACAGGAGCAACACCAGACCAGCCAGCAGAGTTGAAACGACAACAAAAGAGAGTAACTAAAATAGACAGTGTAGATAGAATCCGGTAAATGAGTGAATGAAAGAAAAGAAGTGAGTACTAAATAGAGAAGAAGTAGCAATTCAACAGGAGTCCTTCAAGACGGATGCAGTGCGCCAAGCCGTGAGGATACATAGTGCAGTATTAATTACAGTTATCTGGGGGGTAGCTGGGGTAATTTCTTGTCATGACGGGTAATCAACCTTACCCCTGGATGACCCACTGTCCTTGTGTGTACGAGTAGACCTACGTCTGCAGAAGGGCTGAACTGAAGGATCTCAAGGGACTGGGAACTGAGATTAAAAAAGATCTTTTTATTCTAGCTATTGAGCTTGATTCTTTATCTTTTGCTGTGGCAGAGTAGTGGTCACTGCACAATTTCGGGGCCATTGCCGAGCTCATCTATATGAAGCTTACGGAATACGGTAATTTACAAGTATATACCAAGAATAGCACCGACATGAAAGATCAGCATCCAAGCTCAGATCTAATTTTATATGCACAATTCCAGACCTTCAATCCATACATCAAAAACAGAAATAGTAATTATAAGCTTCTGCTATCCATCATCATGATGCAACTCAACAGCCCTGGTTAGCAGGAGATTTAGGATCGATTTACAGATGCCCCGTATACAAGAATTCGCCGTAGCGCATTGGAGCTTTTCTGTCCCTGCTATTGTTTTTAAGGGTCATATACCGTACAGGCAGGTGGATGTAGAAGCAATAGCTACTGACTACTCGAAGAGCTCCGTAGAGAGGGGATATAGGGAACCTGTTCTTCGGAGCCAATTTTTGGATCTAGATACAGAAAACAGTCATCAAGTTTCGCATAGTGAATGACTAAGAGCATTGTGCATGGATAACCATGAGATATCTACAGTGCGACGTACCAAAGCCCTAAATGTGGATGCCGACAACACCCCCAAGCAGAAGTTAGCACAGCAATCAATATGTTAGTTTCCTGCAGGCCCCGGCACTTAGGACCCCTCTACTTTCAATATTGGAAGGTTATCGTCGGATTTCTCACGTTTAGGGCAGTGATGACGGGAATGTTCTGTAATGACCAGCAGAAGTGAAATTAATGAAGTAATGAAGAGGCCAGCTTCTCATTGATTGGACATTGATTTTTCAGTGCCAGTGGCATGCATACAGAGATCCAGGGGTGACTGGGTGCCATTAAGGCCGGGAATGACAGTATTTGAAAACTGCGATGTGACAGATCGATAGATATTGACGTCTGATAATCATTAAATGTATGGTATCATTCGAGTTAAATCGTACAAATACAGAGAAGATCACTTGCCCAATTCCCCGAGCATCAGCGATCGGTCAGACGAACCAGAGACAACTGTAATGAATTGTTAGTCAGGACCGAATTAGGCAAAAGAAATGGACACTTACTGATAGGCTCATTATTCGGCGAGAACCGCACATCATTGACAGTACCCTTTTGACCAGGAAGCTTGTACAGAAGCTTCCCTGTCTTGGCGTCCCAGACGACAACACTCCGGTCACCGCTTCCTGTTGCGATCTTCTCACCCGTCTGGTCCCAGCTAGCCCGGATGAGGTTCTTTTCCAGCCCAACTGGAGCACCGTCGTACGTGCGCACGTGGCGGTTGGTGGGCGCAAACGGCCGGATATCCCACGTGCGTACTGTCGAGTCGTGAGAGTTGGAGAGAAGTGCTTGCGAGTCTGGCGAGACTTGGAGGGATGTAATGGTGTCTGTGTGTCCGGCCATGGAGTAGACAATGGCTTTCTTCCGTATATCCCAGACATGGATCATGTTATCGATACCGCCGCTGTAGATTTCATTGCCTGCTTCGGACAGAGCAACCGCTGTGATTGGGAGTTCCGTCTCTAAATAGTCAAGCGCATCCTTTTGGCGAGGGTCCCAGATGCCGATACAGCCATCATCGCTCGCGCTAATCAACAGCTCCTGTCCTCTCTTGCTGATATCGAGACAGTTGATGATTTCTTCGTGTCCCACGTGTCGACGTATCCGTTGTCCGGTTTCCAGGTCCCAACTAGCAAGTGTCATGTCCGCCGACGCGGAGAATATTGTTCGGGAGTCTCGTGACCATTGCAGGTCGAGAACCGCGCCTCGATGGCCGGATAGGATGCCGTAGTTTTCACATTGACCGTACGTGTTCCAGAGCACTAGTAGTGCATTAGTATGTATCTTAATCACATGGGCTAGGTAGTTGGCGTACGAATAGACCGGTCCATCGAGCCGGATGCAATGTGTTGCGCAGTTGGGTCGAATCGCGCCGAGAAAACTTCACCTGAGTGACCTGCCAATCAATCCCATGTCAGCTGGTATTTTTCCAACAATCGCGCTCAAGCTTGCCATACCATTAAGCTCCATAATGGGAGCATCTAGCCCGCTAGTACGCGGAACCTGCTGTCATGTTAACTAGAGAAACTTTTTCCACCGGAGGCGATTTCGGATGCGCGTTGGAAGAACCGGGGGCGTACAGCTTGTATTAAGGATCCATTCTGAGCTGAGCTCTTAACGACCGAAGTACCAGGATTAAGCTCATTATCGGACTTCTTGCGTTTCACGACGAGCTGGTTCGATGACCCGAAGGCTGCTTGAGCAGGGCGCTTCTCTCCCGACATTATTGTGAGGGGATTTCTCGTATCAACAACTGAGCAATGGATGAAAAGAAGCTAGGGTTGAAAACAAAAGGAGTGGAAAAAAAAAAAAAAAAGTAATATGAAGAGTAATGACCTCCACGGCAACTGGGATGATTCTGCTAGCTCGAAGATAACAGCACTGCGGAGCCTGTTTGCTGGCGGAGCGGACAGTCGTAGCGGACAGCTAGCCGCGCTAGACGCCAGCATGCGCCAATCCACCGCAGTTCCTCCGCCCGCGATGTCTTTGGTGATCCACCGACTCGGGCGGGGAGGAAAGGAATGCTAATCGTTTAACTTTACAATTTGCGGCACGGAACGTCAAGATATCTTTTGATTTCACCCAGGGACTTTTGCAGAAAGCGACAACTCTCATACTATCGAATATCTCACTCAGATAATCCTCAGCCATGTCATCCACCACCAAAACAGCAAGAATTGGAGAAGAGTAAGCCCCTTATCGATATTGTTGTTCTGTGGCCGATATCGAATCGCATCAACTGACTACTTCTCGGAACTCTAGGCTTTGGAAGTCAGTAAGCTGAATACCGCCAGCTGCTGTTTTGAGAATCGTCCCTCCATCGCCAGCAGCGAAACCTGTTCAGAGACTAATCTGAAATGACACCTATAGAACGAGGGTTGATAAGGTCAACGCAGAACTGGTAACATTGACATACGGAACGATCGTGGCACAACTTTGTCAAGATTATGATGGCGACTACACCGAAGTGAACAAGCAGCTGGACAAGATGGGCTACAACATTGGGTTGCGGCTTATCGAGGACTTTCTGGCCCGGTCGAACGTAGGCCGATGCGCCAACTTCCGGGAGACGGCTGATATGGTCGCAAAGGTTGGTCTTGATCTTCAGTATGATAGTGGTATACTATGTGGTATATCTAACAGTTGTACTATGGATAGGTCGGTTTTAAGATGTTCCTCAACATCTCGCCGACGGTCACGAACTGGACAAGTGACAACAACCAATTCTCCCTCATATTCGAAGAAAATCCACTAGCAGACTTTGTGGAATTACCAGATGACGGACGATCCCAAGACGAACTGTGGTTCTCTAATATCCTGTGTGGTGTCCTCCGCGGCGCACTCGAGATGGTAAGAAGGCTTACTCGCACAACTACCGGGGAGTTGATAAGCTAACTTTGAATTGGTCAGGTCCAAATGCAGATCGATGCGCATTTCGTCAGCGATATCTTGCGCGGCGATGATACGACGGAGATGCGGGTATCGCTAGTGAGATATATTGAAGATGAGATGCCACCAGACGAGGAGTAAACGGGGCGACACTTGGGAGGACCAATGCGTATTTAGAGTCTGTCGACCATTGAGGCGTCCGGTGTTTCTGGGATGTGCGCATTTTAATTCAGATCTTCGTTTATACTTGTCGCAATGGGTCTGCAACATGTCGTAGCGTTCAAACTTGATTCAATGGTTGTTTATAGTTCTAATCAAGAAGTGACGTCTCACAAATCTCCTTGCGGTCTATCAAGTCACTGCTTCCACGATTCCGATCGCAGAGTTTGCCACTTTGCACAATTACGGTTCTCGCACATATTATGAAGGCGCAATTCTACGAGATCCTTACAGTGATATGGGACATAAAGCACCTCCATCTCGGACCTTTCTGACACTGCGACGCGGATCAGATAACTCGGCGACGCGCCACGTGATGCGCTAATCCCAAATAGGATGACTTCCGCCATGCTGAAAAGTGCGCGGGGAGTAACGATTAACAACCTGAAGTCGGTAAGATACGTTACCATACGGTATCACATACATGATCGCCCTCAACTCCGATCTCAATCAGTATGTAGGAGTATGAACTGTCACCATGACACTTTTAGTGCTTTGCACAGCGCAGGATATGGTCAATGTCAATGGTGAAAATGATCTGGTTGAAATGCTTTTATTAGGTGTGTGTTGCGTGCTGTTCCCTTACTGGTCCTGCTGGTGTTGAGGTGCAGATTGGGCTCTATTTGTATGGTTGGTTGGTGTTACAGTTAATACCGACAACGCACATCACATCTATCATTTTGCCAGCAATTCTTTAAATTTTCATTCGGGAAATTTCTACGAGCATAGTTATGATATAATATAGATATAATAATAATGTTTTATCCTATGTCTTTTATATTTATTTCTCTATATTTTCCCTTCTGAGGTTCTTATACTTGTAATACCCGTACGGGCATGCTCACAATTACGCGCATCTGCAGCCCTTCCGCCGAAATCCGCACAGGTTTATCCGGGCCGAGCAAGCGACTTCGCGGCCAATCCGTTAATTGTCGTCGACGCTTGAGACCAGCCACTGCGCAGCGCACCCCGTCGAACGACGACGAGAAGTCGAGCAAGACGACTGTTGAAGAAGGATACCCTGGAAAAGTCGACTTTATACTGAGGCAGACCGGAAAACGGTTGAGAAAGACGCTCTCTCTCTTTCTCTAACCCCCCGAGTTTCGCTTTCTCGCTCTCTCGCTCGCAGTATCGCTGCTAATCCACCGAACACCTTACTCTCTGATCCACCACCTCTTACTACCACCACCGCTCTAATCACCATCCTACCCTTTTTCACCTTATATTTCACTGTGTTTTTTTGTCAAGAGTCATTCGCAGTCTCTGCTTCCTCTCTCCTTTCCTTACTTTTTTGCTTTTTTATTGTCCCTCTCCGTCTTCCACATCTCCCCTCTGCCCCTAATTGACCACATCTCTCTTTCGCCTCTTTTCGTTCTTTCTTCTTGATACTCTTTCTATCCTGTTTCTTGTGGGATTTCGAATTGAAATCGTCTTGCGATCTTTTCTTTCTCTTCATTTCGTTCTTTCTCAGCTAAGCGCCGCTTCTCGCCGCTGGTGCCGCTCGTCGCCTTCCCCGGTTGATCCTACCGCGCTTCGCTCTCCGCGGTGTGTGCCTGACATTTACACACCACACCACTTCCTCGTCTGATCGTCTTCCCCCTCCCGATCGGCTCATCTTCCGACGTTGACTTTTTTTTTTTTTTTTTCGCGTCCTTTTGGTTTATATAATATTCCCGTGCCCGTTTGGTCTCTGGTCCTCCACATCACCGTCTCCGCAATTTTGTGCCCCCATTCGCGCGTCTCATCCGTCTTCGATCGCAGAAGAGAAGAAAAAGAAAAAGTTGTTACACCAGGGGGCTAGAAGCGCCGGTCACTTCGCCTTTCTTCTTCTGTCTCGTCTGGTTGATTCAACTCATCCCCGCTTGTCACATACGAACTTGACTTGCATTCTGCGGTGAAGCTAGATTCACTGCAATAACGGTGGATGTGCGTTGACAACTTTTGATATTGGACAACCCTTTTCAACGAACAAGCGAGGGTGGCAAGCACGCTCAATCGCCCGTCATGAACCAAATGAATATGCCCGGGATGAATCCCGGGATGGGAGGCCCCGTCGGCGGTGTTCCCATGATCAATAACGGTTCGACGGCTCCTCGTAACGATGGAAATGTGAACAATATCCCCGAAACTATGATCACCAACCTTAACACCTATATTTATGACTATTTCTTGAGACGAGGTTACCACGACTGCGCCAGAGCCCTCGTCCAGGACGATTCGTTCAAGCTGAACACCGACCCGGCCGCCAAAACGAGTCCGGGTAGTCGCGATGTGAATGGTATCGACGGCGATGCAATGATGACTGATGGCAAGGATGGCGATAAAGTCAAGGTCCCTGACGATCTCCCTCGACCTAGTCTTTCTAATGAATCTCAACATTCGTCGTTCCTCCTTGACTGGTTCAGCCTTTTCTGGGATTTCTTCTGGGCCCAACGCAACAAAGGGAATCGCAATGATGTGCGACAATATCTTCATCACACTCAGGTACAATCGTTTCCCACTCTTAATTCCTCGTCTATCTAACTCTATATAGAACATTATGCGCCTCAGAGAATCGCAACAAAATCCGTTATTACGACCTCAACCCATGATGCCTGGGCAGATGAACCAACTAAATAACATTCGTCGGAACAACATGGTTCCTCCAAACCTACAGAAGACTGTTCTACAGAACAATACTGCTGGCCTGTACGTGGATTTTGTGCAACTTCAGTTTTCATTGCAAGCAATTTTCACTGATTTCTGATACCCCCTCCCCACAGTTCCCAACAACAGATGGCTCACCTTCAGAGAAGCCAACAGGCCCAAATAATGCAGATGCAACGCGACCAGTCGGAAATGGATATGAATGGACATCGTCCGCAGTCCCCCTCGTCCGCAGACAATGCGCCTTCCCCGTCGAAACGACCCCGCCTTGATGGCGGGCCGATGAACGGACAACAGTTGGCACCCAACGGACGAGGACAAGGACAAGGCATGCCCGGTCAGCCGAACCCGTTGATGATGCAAAACGGACTCAATGCGCGCATGACACCGCAAGCCCAGGCCGCGTTCCAGCAATCGGGTCCTGGGGCGCAACAAAAATCCATCCAGGTATATGCTCAAAATTTGGCTCTTCATCACACACGCTCAGCATTAAATAACCAGGGATTGCCGAATGGTATGATGAACCCCGGTGTCATGCCAAACCAGCCGGATCTCGTAGCGATGCCGGACGGTCAAAATATGTACCCGATGGGCAGCGAGTACTATGGCACGAACGGTCAAATGCCTCAGGTTCGGGCTGGGATGCAGACGCCTGGCGGTCAGCACGGCAACCATGCTCTCCAAGATTATCAAATGCAGCTTATGTTGCTTGAACAGCAGAATAAGCGGCGTTTGTTGATGGCTCGTCAAGAGCAGGATAGCATGACCCGTCCCGACCAGCCTCCCATGCCCGGGCAGCAGGCTCTGCCTCCAGGCACCTCTCCCGGCAGCCGAGCGGGCGCATCACCGAACCCGAGCGACCAGATGAAGAGAGGCACTCCGAAGATGCCTCAGACCGTACTTCCCGGATCCCCGAGCGCCGCCGACGCAATGGGCCAGAATCGTGCCTCCCCAGCTTCCATGAATTTCAATCCCCAGCTAGGAGGCCCCGATATGACGGGCCAATTCTTCAACGGTATGCGACCCCCTAGCTCTAACCCGGCCTTTAGCGCTGCGCAAATGGGCCAGGCGGTTCCTGCCGGAGCGGCCAACCGTGTTCCTAGTGGCAGTTGGCCGCAGCAAGGCGGCCCTCAGGGCCAGCCCATGGTACCATCGCCCGCCAGTCAACCTCAGACAGGAACCCCACAGGAAAGGGGTGCAATGCCGCCTCCTCAGGCACCCCCGGCGACAGGCCCCAATGCCGGTCGTACACCTGCATCTCCTCAAACGGCCGCGCCCCCGACTCCCCAGCAGGCTAATAAGCCTGCACCCAAGGGGAAGAAGGATACGAAAGATGCCCGGAAGGTATGTTTCCTCTCTGTCCCTCGCTTTCCTTTCCCTTTCTTATTTAATACACCCCTTTTTTTTTTTTTTTTTTTTTATTGAACATTTTCTCAGCGCCCAGCGAAGAAGTCGGCCACTGCTGCTGCGAACACCAACACGGCAGCTACTCCATCGTCGGAAGCGGAGCATCCTCCCACGCCCACACCCTCAACACCGATTACTCCTCAACATCCCAACTCGTTTAACAAGAACGGGATCAATGCAACAACGAATGCTCCACAGCAACCGACATCTGCACCAGCGCCTCAGCCTATGGTGCCCCAGCAACAGCCGCAACCACCTCAACCGCCACAACAGCAGCAACCGCCGCCGCCAGACCCGAACCAGTCGTTTAATGATCTCAACACTCTTGCGGATGTACGTTTCTTATATTTCTACCAAAAGAACAGTTCCCAACTAACTTGGTTCAACAGCCATCTGCTTTCAATCTTGATTTTAGCGCACTGGAAAACCCGGATATACTTGAGAACTTCGATTTTGACACGTTCCTTAATACCGATGCAGATACGGCCGGGTTTGGGTTTGATCCAAACATATCCTATGCTGCAGACGGTGTAGAGACAGGTGCCGGCGATAGCCTGTGAACGAGACCGACGGTGATTCAGTTTTGAAGTTCCATATACCCACCCTTGTTTGTACATTTGATCAATTCAACTTGTGCTGTTCGGTTGCTCATTCACCCTCATTCCCCTTTTCCCGTGTTACTGTCGAGTGTTTCTTTTTTTTTTTTTGGATATGTGCTGTGAGACAGGCGTTGGTGTATCTGCTGTTGCATATCCCCCTCCACTTTTACATGAGGCCAGTCTGGTGTCGACTGATCTATGATGGACGCTATCTTGCTGTTAGATTTTTGTTTACGTTTGGATGTCTGGTGACCTATGTGTCTATTTTTGACCTATTCCCTTTCTTTTATACTATTATTACTTATTTGGTTACTTAATCGTCTTTCTCCGTTTCTTTAGCTTTGGACTGGGCGTCATACTACTATATTCTAGTATTTGTCGATCTCATCGTGTTTGTTTTGGTCCCGATTGATGCATACTTCGGTTCCTATCAAAGCTATATTTATGTCCTTCTTTTTCTTTTCCTTTTTCTATTCTCCACTTTTACTTTCCTTTCTTCATCTCTTTTTCTCTTTGTTTTTCCTTTTCCTATTCTTTTCTTTTCTTCT